ATCGTTTATTTTAGCCAATTCGCCCACGCTTCCCAATTCAATGATTACATAGGTATGCCTGAACCAAGCCCTTTATCACACCACACATTATCGGTACGTGTCCTCAGTGCTGCAGTGACGGCTGCACGGAGCGCTGTTTGCCGCCTGAGGGTCAGGAGGAGACTACCGTCACCGAAGGAGCCCCAAGAGCCCGAACGCCATCCACAGACACGGTGGGTTCTGTAAACGCTTTCTCATAAAAAGGTTTGGGGGACGATGAGTGGTCAGATGAACGGTGCTTGGTTAGACGGTGAACGGCTGTGATTTTTAAATACAATCCATATGGATAATTCATGTCACAGACTTCTCTAGAGAAGATTTAGAAAAGTCTATGTTTATGTGTACTGTATAGGGATGCAGGGATGCAGGCTTACATCACGTTCCTCCGACTACAGCCACCCACCGAGCAGCCGACCTCCCCCGCTGTGACGCCCGCCACCACTCCAGCTCCCAGTGAGGAGGATAAGACACAGGAGACGACACCAGCAGTGCCAGGTAAGAATTCTATCGCACTCGCACGTAGATTGTATGGCTATTGGCTGCATAAATAATGCATCAGAAGGATCCAAGAAGAGTTTATATAGTACCGACAGGCGACAATCCGATATTTGATAGGTGCTCTGTGTATAATCAAATATATTCGAACGAGGCTCATTTCGGTGTACATTTTGGAAAGATGACTCACTTGACAAGGGAGTTAAAACTTGAATCTAATTCCGTGGTCGGTGTGCTTCTTGGGATTTCAAAATGGTTTCGGTGCATATTGCGTACCCACCCAGCTTCAATTCCAGCTGAAAGCCGGAAGCTATACTGTACCGCAAGACACTAGTTCGCAATCTTGTACAGAGATGGCGCTAGTTTCAAACGCCTGAAGCTATACTGTACCGCAAGACACTAGTTAGCAATCTTGTACATTGATAGCGCTAATTGCAAACGCCTAATGCTGTATTTACTGTGCCGCAAGACATTGGTTCGCAATATTGTACATAGATGGCGCTAGTTTCCAACGCCTGATGCTATACTGTACCGCAAGCCATTGGCTCAATCTTGCACAGAGATGGCACTTAGTTCAAAGTTCAAACGCCTGATGCTACGCTGTGCCGCAAGGCACTAGTTTCCAAACTTGTACAGAGATGGCGTTACTTTCAAACGCCTGAATATATACTGTACCGCATGGCATTTACCCTCCTTTCTGTATTTCCAGACCCTCGGGCCCGTATCGTGGACGCCTCCTCTATTGTAGATGCTGCGGAGGGCTCCCTGGCTGTGCTTCGGTGTGTGGTGGAGGGAGACCCAGATCCCATCGTCACCTGGAGCCGCGGAGCAGAGAAGGTGGGCGCAATTCACTTACATATGTACAGGCCACAGCTAAAGTAATGTAGGGTTTTACCAATATCAACGGTTGGCTTTGACTAGCGATTGTTTAATGCGGAGTGATCGAAAAGAAGATGTCAATAGCTAAAGTTGCAGCTGCAAGGGTGACGATACATATAAGCTACATTAAAAGTTGCATTGTAGTCTGGCTAATCGTTCCTAAGCTTCAGAAGCAGAACATACCCATGACTGAAACCCCACATTACTTCTGCTGTGGACTGTACTTAGCCTAGTCACTGCCGATGATGCTCTGCAGAACAGACGTCATTGCATTGAATAAGTGACCTTTTTTGCAGTGAGTAGGTTAGCTTTATGGCTCGCCAGATCTGACCCAGCTCGACTTTCGGATTGTTCGGGTGTTATCAGAATTAAATTGACCCAACCCGACCAATTACATCGCCATTCATTCTGAATAACGTTTCATTAATAGTTCAGATGTGTTTTCAATTACCGCCCTCCTCCGTCCCTGCCTGCCGACCTCAGGTGGACACCAAAGGCGACCGGTACCGTCTGGAGGGCCACTCGCTGCAGATAGTCGGCGTTCGACCAGAGGACAGTGGCGAGTACACCTGTACGGCCGACAACTACCGCGCCGAACCCGACCGACGCACCATGATACTCAACGTCACCGGTAAATACACATTGCACGCTCAACGTCACTGGTAAATACACAACTACCGCGCCGAGCCCGACCGGCGCGCCATGACACTCAACGTCACCGGTAAATAAATGTAGCATATAATGGTCTCCTATCGCCCAGACCCAGTCAGCTCAGTGATCTCACCTGAGCCCTCACTGTCCACCGCCCAGACCCGAAGCCGGCCCCTGCTTGAGTTGAAGGTCTATGACCTAACTTAACCTGACCATCCCCCTCAAACCAGGCACTAGCGCTAGCGACCTGACTTTTCTCTGTACCTGGAGACGTTGTAGGTAAGTACGTTTAGTCAGTGACCTGACCCGACCTCTACCCAGACCTGTAGCTGGCGCCTGTGACCTGATCCGACCTCTCGCTCTGAGCAGACCCGGCACCAGTGACCTGACCTCCCCCTCCCCCAGACCCGGAGCCGGCGCCGGCTCAGGTGGTGCGGCCGGCCGCCGAGGAGCTCCCAGTGGCCGACCTGGGCGGACCGGCGCTGATCCGGTGTCACGCCTACGGCTGGCCGCCGCCGGTGGTCACCTGGTGGCGCGAGCGCCGCCTCCTGCCGCGCTCCTCGGGCCAGTACCTGCAGCAGCGGCACGGCCGGCTGCGCGTGGCCGTGGTGCGGCTCGGTGACCTGGGCGGCTACACGTGCCAGGCGTATAACGGCCGCGGCCGGCCCGCCAGCTGGACGGCCGTGCTGCGCGCCTACGGACCCGTCGAGGCGCCGCCGCCGGCGCTGTGGCCGTTCCTCAGGTTTATCGTCAACGTCGCTCCGACGGAGGGCCCGCAGACGGAGAGGGAGCCGGAGGGAGAGAGTGGGGAGGGCGCGGACAAGGCGCCGGGGACAGCCGAGAGCCCGTTCCCGGCCCGCCGGCCCGGTCAGACGCCCTACAGTCCCGAGTACGCCCGGCCGCCCGGGTCAGGTAAGATTTATCTAGCAGAGTGCAGCTTCTTCACTTCATCTATCGTAAGACTCGTTCTCTGATAATCAAGCTTAGCCCTCTTGAACGATTTTGACACTATGACAACAATTTAAGTGAAAACATCTTAGATTTATCGTTGAAATTGCTAGATATCGAGATAGGTACCTGCAGTCTAGTATCCGTTCGCATTATATCACTTTCGCATTTTACCCACTCTGCCACGGCAGTATCCGTACGGGTGAGTATCCGCCTGCCGGACCCGACGGTGCCCGTGGGCGGCGAGCTGCGGATCCCGTGCCGCGCCTCCGGCCGCCCGAAGCCCACAGTCACCTGGTATAAGGACCGAGAGCCGATTCGTCCCAGCGAGAGACGCATCATCAAGGGTCAGTACTCAGTACCTACACAATACCACCGAGGGCATTTGCAAGGGTGAGGTCTAGGTGGCTGAATGATGTAGGTGGAAATAGAAGCTCATAACTGCCACAGACCTCTACTGCTAATTCATTGCATTAGTTTGACGTCCCTCAGCACTTATCTCAATATAAACGGCGTCTTATAGCCTCACAAAGTAGGTATGCGCGAATTGTTCTCAGCAAGCGAAGCACCTCTAGTTCTAGGCCTGCACTAATATGTCATCGCCCTCCCCCGACCAGGCTTGTGTGTTTTGTGACTAAGTCCTAATTCTCCCTCGCCCTGGTCTTATCCTCATATGACGGTCTGATTCTCCTCAGGCTCTGAGCTGATTGTGCGCCGCGCCCAGCCGTCTGATGCCGGTACCTACCGCTGTAGAGCTTCCAACGCGTACAGCACTGCCGAGAGCACCGTCACAGTGGCCGTCAAAGGTGAGTGGAAACGACGGAAGGCGCTGTGAGGTCAGCAATATATGGTGTGATGGTGACTGGCGGTTTGGAAACGTCTGTTATTGACATTATCTTGCCACCTGCAGCACTGAGCAGCCTCATCAGTCCCTGTCTGTCAGTGAGTGTCCGTCCATGTGTCTGTCTCTTCATCAGCCTTTCTTTCTCCCTCTCCTCTCTCTCTCTCTCTCTCTCTCTCTCTCTCTCTCTCTCTCTCTCTCTCTCTCTCTCTCTCTCTCTCTCTCTCTCTCTCTCTCTCTCTCTCTCCCAACTCATGAAGCCTCTTCGCTGCTCTCAGGTGTGTACGTCGACCCGAGCTGCACGGATAACCCGTTCTTCGCCAACTGTCCGCTGATCGTGGCTGCCCGCTACTGCTCCAACCAGTACTACGCCAGATTCTGCTGCCGCTCGTGTACGCTGGACGGCCAGCTGGAGCCGGGTGGTGACCACCTCAGGAACACCGGTAAGCGGCTCAATGAATGGGCTAATGAGGGATATTTAAGGTTTCCTCGTGCTAAAGTCTCACTTTCAAGTAACGGGTTTTACAAAGCTCTCGAGCTTCATAAAGGCTCTACGAGCTCTGCGAGCGAAGATCTTTGAGCCGCGGATGATAAACGCTCACAACCTCGACAAAAGTTCATACCCCACTACGTCTGCGCTGTCTGAGTGCTCAATTCTCCGTTTTCAGAGTACTTCAAGGGCGGTCAGTCTGGTGCACAGAACAAAGTGCTGGCTCCGGGACCGGTGACGGTTGCGGGTCGACGCCGGCTGCCGCGCCGCCGTCGTCTCAGGAAACTCCGGGTCCGGTTCGGATCCCGACGGAGGCTGCGTCCCAGGCCCATTCCGAGACCCAGGACGCAGCCCATCGAGCCCTGAGGATGCCCCAAGGTTATTCGGTTTTAAGGTGAACATACAGCAAATGATGTGGAGACCCAGATGACTTCAGAAGTCAGACGAGACATTTGAGCGAGCACGTGCGGACGTTTAGCTAAGTCTTTGGCGACCATGCGACAGCCGAGGGGTGGTCCTGGTCTGCGCGCGCTGCATTCCTACGTGTTGATTGTACAACTGACCCAGTCGGCTGGGCGCATATAATTCTACCGCCGATGCTAACCAAATGCGCACTACGCTCGAAACGGAGTGGGGGTCTTCGCAGTGCTTCAGAACCCGGTGCCCAAAACTGTCGAGTTGCAGTGATTCGCTTGTCTGAGCTCGCTCACTGCCAATGGTCACCGTCGAGTCATATCCGCCTGAATACGCGTCTACAATGTTTTGGAGCCAGCCATCCGCCCGGGACGGCGGATTGACAGTGAGCGGACGGGACGGAGATCTCTCGTCCTCTGATAACCAGGAGAATTCGATCACCATGATATTAGCATTAGCAACCGGAGTACCTATGTTGTGAAAAATGGTGCTTGACTTGGGCGAGCAGTCCTCTGAAAACCGTAATGTTGTAGAATGCTTTTCGAAGTATTGCCTCTTGCATTGAGTATTGTGCTAACCAAAGTGCTTGATACAAAAATGATTATGCGTCATCAATCATATTATATTAACAGCAGACGTTTGCATTGTGTTAATTTGTACATACCTTATGCACATTGCAACAGAGCAGCATGAATCGTCGGTTGCCGTCATAATGGACTCTTTCGTGCCGCACTGCCAAACGAGGCGCTGATAGGCCGGGTAAAATGCTGCCCGCTTATCAGTGCCGAATTTAATTAATCGATGCTGGAATAAAACAACATCACAATATACCACTGATGTATGATTTCAATAATGTCACGACCAGTCTCGTGTATCCTAAAAATTCGTAGGTCAGAAACAATCTTCAAAATATGCCCCTTCGGGCAGCGTAGGTAACAAGTAAGTATAACCTGGCTGACAATCACCTTGAGCATGGTACTGATAACCTGCCAATAAACAAGCTAGGTCCCAGTATAAATAAACTCCCTAACTCCTAACCGGTCCAAAGCATCCCGCTCATCACAGTCATAACCTTCATCACATACCATCTGTCTTATAGACTACGACCATTAATAACTACCTGAGCGACTGTCCCGCTCGCTGTCTCGCTCCCTGACAGGCCGCAGGTAGGGCACTTTGTGTTTGTACCACTCTGGTAGTAGCGTCCCTAGTAAGATGTGAGTAAATATGCCCGTCAGTCCCCAGACGCGGTGGGGTCCATTGAGGAACACCGGTAGCGAGTATCCTGCATCCCCTCGCCGCCACTGAGTATGTCCCGCATTCTCCGGTTTACACAGGTGTTCTAACGACAGAAAAAACACATCCTCCACCTCGTCTGGCTGAGGGCGTAGATCTTCCATTCGCACCTCTCCTACATCCGCTACGTACGCCGCCACCGGCTTCCCTCCAAACCGAGACAGCAGCGAGGGCAGCACTCCCCACAGTTGGTCCCGCTCCACGTGAAGACCGATCTCCTCCTCGGTCTCCCGGAGGGCGGTCGCCAGAGGGTCGGCGTCCTGCCGGTCTCGGTTACCGCCTGGGAATGCCACCTCCCCGGCATGTTTGTTGAGCGCAGAGGAGCGGAGTGTGTAGAGCAGTCCCGGCCGACCGTCAACCCGACACAGAGGAGCGAGCACAGCCGCACCCGGCTCACCGTCAGTGGTCCGCACGGGCAGGCGCACGTTTGACAGACGTGAGACGAACGCTTCGCGACGCTCCGGTGTCAGTACTGCGTCGGTCAGCGGCGGTGGAGAGACGGGACTGGCGACTGTCAAAGGACGGCACGGCGCCGCCGCCAGTCGAGCGGCAGACCGGAGCAGCATCGCACTGATCAGCGAGTCCAGACGGGGACTTCCGCCGAGTCGAGGATTTTTGGGAAGTCAGAACTCTTCAGACGATGGATGCTATTCTCGATGGTTGTAGTGACCCCAGTCAGCTTGAGCAGTGCCTCCACGACCCTGTGGTGGCCAGCCGGGGGCCAGGTCAAGGTCAGGTCACACTGCACCGACACCGCGCGTGGTAAGACACTCCTACGGGGGTAGGATGGGGGATGGGGGTCAACGCAATGTGAACACTAAATGTAGAGCCAAGTTAACCACAGTGGGTTATGCGACTTCCACCCTCTCCGCGCTCCAAAAAGTAAAAAAATAAAAAGTTCGGTTTTATTTTCAGTCACTGCATACCATCTGCTGAACATATGGATTATGCACACCACAACAATAAACAATGACACCAGAGTCTAAAACAGAACTAAGAGCCTCCCTCCCAAAAAGTGTGCAATGCAACATCGCCGTGACTTGCATCGACAACGACAATAGAAAGAGTCTCTGTCACGGCAATGCTGATTACTATGAATTTCAATGGACAATTTTCGATGGTCGCTTGTAAGCAGAACTGTCGCGTCTTTTAAAAACAGGCAAAACAACAAAAACAAACAACAGCTCTTGCGCTGAGTTTCATTACAAATGAACGTAATGCGTGTCACTTATTCGCAAAAAATTCTCGAATGGACTCGGTTACAAGGACCCATCATCTGACTTCCCGCATATTTCACGTTCGCCAATGTCCGTCGGCCATCCAGACCATCTCATTTGCCCTCACAGTGCCACCACAGTCAGTCCGTTCCACGTCTTATTACCGCCATCAGGGCCGCCGCTGGCGCAGCGCCGGTGACGCCGTCGCCGCCGGTGACGCCCTCTGTGGCGTGCCGCCCCCTCCCGCGTCCAGCGCCACCTCGCCACCGAGACACTGCTGCAGGGCGAGCGTCTCCTCGGTCAGGTACGCGTCGTGCATCCAGGCGGCCCGCAGCGCCGTCAAGGCCGCCGCAGAGTCGGCGTGCGCCAACCACGAGGCGACAGTTCGTTTCACCTCCGTTTCCTTGGTGTAGAGCGGTAGAAGACGGGAGGCGGCCGCCGCACAGCGGGACGCGTCCCAGGTGGTGACGGCGGGGGCGGCGCCGGCGGTGGAGTCACCCCGACCGGCCCTCGCCTCCTCCAGTCGCCCGAGGGCGGTCAGGGTGTCAGTGGCGGCCTGTAGCCGCTCCAGCTGCTCGTGCAGCCCGTCGGCGGCGGCGGCCAGCCGACGGCACGGCTCGGCTAGAGACGTGGGGTAACCGTCATCGGGAGCACCCTCCGTCTCCCAGGGGCGCTCGGCGCGCTCCAGGGCGGCGCCGCGAGTCGAGCATACTCGGGATACTGCGTACGAGCCGACGGCGCGCTGCTCAGCCCAGCCGGCCGCCGCGCTGCCCCAGCTGGAGCGTGCCCGCTGCAGGCGGTACAGGGCGTCCGAGGAGAGGCTCATGGCTGCGATGCTGAATGTAGACCAGGTGGGCAGATGGTGGAAATGGGGCAGTGTTCTCCTGCCCTCTGCTTCACCCACAACTCAACTTGACTGGTATATCAGAGGGTACTGATAGCAGAATTCAATGAATAAATGAATTTGGGAAAAATAGCATCTTCAATATCAATTCATGATGAAAAACAGATGAATATGATTTTCTTCTTGAGTGAAATGCTTTAAATACCAAATTAAAATGAATTTATATGCTACTTATCAATAAGCTGCTTAAAAATGAAAAAAAGGCTGAAGAAAGATCTTTCTTTTGTGTGAAAAATAAAGACTCAATTCCCATCATTCAACACATTCATATCTCACTATAATCAATAATCATAATGCATCTTGATTTATCAGTTCCGAGCCAAGCCCATAATACAAGCAACATCAGTAGGTAATTCCTAATTCAGTAGGTGGAACTATGGTCATGAGTACCCAAATATAGGAACGTTCCCATTTTTGGGAACGGAGTTCCCAAATATGGGAACGGGCGTTCCCATTTATGAGAACGGAAGGTAATTTTTCGGCCGTTCGCCCACTAAAACTCATTAGTGCATCACGTCTCATAAAAGTGCACGCTAATTTAAGTATCTACTAAGTCTCTATAAAATTATCTTTAATCTGACCGTTGAACAAGGAAATTGACCGTCGAATGATATTTTTAATGATTTTTTGAAATGACGGAATGGTGAAAACATGGGTTACACTACATTTAACATGCAATTTTAAGGAAAATGAAGCGTTTTTTACATTTTGAGGTCAAGTATAATAATTTTCGCCTGGTTATGAAGTTTCATACTAGCGACACCCGATGCCGACATATGCAAGCGAACACGCGGACAGTCCCGAGGTAATATTGTTGACATTTGGTGTCGAGGCGGACGACCGCGTAGAACGTGCGTGATTTTACCGAACTACTGTTGTAAACTCATTTTAAGTGGTCGAAAATTATTCAGCTGTATTTTATCAGCCCGGAAAGACATATTTTATTTGGATGCTAGCTGTTTAGCGTTGTTTTATAAGGAGCGTCATGAGCGTGGTTTTTGTCTTCCGTGTTTCTAAGCATGATCGTTTTGGGGGAATTTCTCTTATATAGGTCGCTCTGTGTGGCTCATTTATAATTTCTATGCTGATTTCGATCATTCCTCGTGCCCATCCTACCAGGCCTTTTGCCACTTACACTCATTAAGAAAGGAAAAAACTAGATTTTCATTGGGACTAGGTGTTTTGAGGGTGTAACATATTCAGCGTTCCCATTTTTGGATACTTCCTTGTACTCGTCAACTATCGGTGATAAACAGACAGGTGCTTGACATGTCTCCACCCTCGGCACGGACGGTGGATATAGGTATGGAAGACCTTGTTGAACATCGCTGAGCGTTGTGAATTACGTAATCCTGCAGAGGGGGGCGTGTCCGCTGCGAGATCGACGGGAATAAAAGCGCAGAAGGCCGGGCGAAACATGCGACGGTCTTGCCGGAAAGGTCATCTGATGATTGTTGCGTTAACAATAATTTGCGGCGTTGGACGTGATGCTTGTTAATGAAAAGAGCCCCTGAAAGGCGTCGGTGAAATCGTTCCCAATTTTGGGTACGCCGTTCCCATAATAAGGAACGCTTGCAGCGCCAGTGTACGAGAGCGTTCCCAAATTTGGGCTCGCGGCCCGGATGATGGACTGCTTTAGAAATAGGGGAACGATTTGAAACTACGATGGGCCTTACAATATCAAACTCTTTCCCAACAATATTGAGACAAATATCAGGCGGTTCACGATCGTTTTATATTTTTTGGACGTCATTTAACGGTTCTTTTTCTTGTTTTAAATAATGCCTACATGGCGTTCCCATATTTGGGTTTATCGTTCCCAAACATGGGAACGAAAATGCGTTCCCGAAAATGGGTACGCTTGACCATAGTTCCGCCTACTGAATTAAATTCATGCAACCTGATGGCAGGAAAAGAATGCTCAACAAATGTATCATCCATACGGCAATTCTAGGGAGGAAAATGGTCTAAATATCACATTATTATAATTTCAGCTTGAGCCACTAATTTTCGACAACATTGATCTGCTGGCTCTAGGCAACTAATAACCCTGTGGCCTGTGTCAGTTTTGTTTTCTTTCTAAACAATTTCACCTTGCCAGAGAAATGTCATTGCAACATTTTATCAAATAACTACAGATAAATAAAGCTATCTAACTTACGATAGACGCGTCCAGACGCGTCCCTCCCCCTCGCGATCTAGCTGACAAATGATAGTAATGATTTGGCAGCAGAAGTTTCGATCCTGACGTCATGAAAATTTCTTTGCAATATAAAGTTATGAAGTTATTCAAAGCGTGCTTGCCTTTTCATGATGATAAATGGATGAGGACGAAGTTCATGATATAAAAAGCAGATAAAACATACATCTTCGAAAAATATAAAATCGCATGAGCATGTGTTTCGGCTGCGCTCCAGGAAGCTGGAGGCATTTGACGCTTATTTTAATTTTTCTCGTCTTGAAGGATTTTCTTTATCCCTTCAGATATGGCAGTAGAATGCGCCGCTTTCGCAGTTTACAGCGCCCTGCCTTCTTTTGGAGTTGATACACGTTCATGATAGGCAGTTTCTGCATTGGAATTTTTGTTTCGGTTTCAGATTTCCGGAGGTGGAATTGGGGAAATAATTCTCGCATCTTGTCTCTTGAACCTGGCGAATGTGGCCTTTTCAAACTGGCAGGCTAAACCAGATAGGGATGGCTTCTTGATCACGAGTTTCTGGATTTGTTTAGTCCACTACTCTGCTTTCAACAAAATTCCTTCAAAATGAATTAAGATGACAAGTAATGGTGCACCTGAACTTCCCCTGGTGGGATCCTTCCCCACCAATGAGGCAATCAAGACCCTCATTTATCATCCAACACTGAATGTCATATTGCTGATAACCAAAGACTCGAGCATCAAGGTCTTGGACCTGCATTCTGGCCAGGTGCTACATGTTGCTGAGTCACCAGCCAAAGGTAAGTCTCAGGGGCAGTACAGGGTTGCCAGACTTGGCGATATGTCGCCAATTTGGCGAATTTTGGAAGTCATTGGCGATAGAAGCACGGCGTTTGGCGATAGGCGATAAAACGTCAAATATTGGCGAATTTCCAGAGTTCGCCTCCAAATCACCGAATATTATTTTAAAAAATAAACAAAACAAAGCAAAAAACATCGTTACGAAATATTTCGTAATCTGCTTAATTTAACCTTCCAACGTTTCATATAAGGCACTCAAATATAAAATGTTCCTGATGAAAATACCTTCTGAACCACATCTCGCACGACCTTTGCTTAGGGGTGGAGATCTGTCAAAATGTCATGGGGGGTCCAGGCCGGGCAGATGGAGGCGGGCTGGATGGATGCAGTGCCATTGACTTACATAGCAGTAATTCGTTTACGGGGGGGGGGGGGGGGGTCCTGACCCCACGACCCCCCCCCCCCCCGAGATCTCCACCTCTGCCTTTGCTATTTTATTTGGCGCTGGTTAATACGCTGTTATGTAGATGAATATGAGAAACGAGATAGGTAAATCGTGAACTTGGAAACGAATCGTGAACACGGTTACACGAACACAAACTTGCGCTGCTACGTATGCTTATACAGTGCATCCTATTTGGCGAATTTTGGCGAAATTCGAGGGGCGAATTTGGCGATAAGGACCATTCTGGATCTGGCAACCCTGGGGCAGTATCTATGATGATCCCGTCTCCCACGAACACCTATTTGGCTCTCTATGAATCCACAATCTGGCGTTTCAATTTGGGCTGACTGTAAAGCATGGCAACAGAATAACAGTGATATGCGGCACAGGCCTTGCTAACAATTGGATCGAATCAGCTGGCTGGCCAGCTTGCAACATGCGATAGCTATTAATATGTATATATATATATATATATATATATATATATATATATATATATATATATATATATATATATATATATATATATATATATATATATATATATATATGTAAACACGGTAGGAGATGGACATGAACACGCAAATCGGCACTAAGAGAAAAATTAATGGATATTTAGTCATTTATATCTAGTATCAGTATTGATATATAACAAGCTCTGCTATTGCTACCACACCACACAGTGCCAGTGGCAAATAATCCAGTTAATAGTATGGCCCTGCTGTGCCAGCCAGGGCGAGGGTTGGCAGCCTTTGTTTCATGGACCAGAACCAACCAGTGATAAATCTGGATGTTTGTCATGGTTGTTTTCAGCCAAAAATTGAGACCAGCTTTTCTTGTGAGCTGGTGTGTTAAAAGAGCATACCTATTATTCACTTAAGTTGAAAAGGAACATATTTTGGCATTATTAGAGCAGACGTCACACAAAGGTTTTCCAACCAAGGAGAGGTGCTGTAGGTTTGTAGGTTGTAGGACTAGGTCTTAGGCTTGTAAGTTGTCAGTTTGTAGGTTGTAGGTTGTAGGTTAGGCCAGGTTAGGTAAGGTTTGTTTTGGTTTGGTTTGATTTGGTTTGGTTAGAAAAAAGCATTTCAGGGTATCGTGCCTCTTCTTGGTTGGAAGATGTTTGTGTGACAGCTGCTCTACTTATATCCATAGTTCAACATCATAGCTCAGAGCAAAAGTGCTGAAATGATTTGGCTTTGAGTCTCTCATGTTTTGCAAATTGTATATGACCATGACCATATGTCATTGGCATGGCTATTTATGAGATGGTTTGTCTTCTTGCATACCATATTGAGCTGGGCCCACCAGGCTGGAAATACATCTTACTAAGTTTGCAAAGCTGGCCTTACATCTGCAGCAGGAATAAATTTGTGTCTGATGTAGTTCTATTGCAAGTTGGCAGCCCAATGATAATTATTCCAAATTTCACTGCAAGTGGCCCACTCATTACAAGGTCTTAGACTTCTCCTGTCAAGTTTTTCTTAACCTTCCAGGCGGTGGGGGGGGGGGGCATTTTTTGCCCCCCCTTTAGTTTTTTCGATATATCTCGAGAACCGCTGCGCCGATCGTCACCAAACTTTCAGTACCCTCCCGGGAGCAGCTAGCGCACATGGTGACCATTTTTTTCCAAAGGCTATGATAGGTTGGCCGCTAATGACGTCAGAGTGACGTCATTTTTGCCATTTTCGACCCAAAAAAAGGTTTCGCGGGAAGAGCTTTCAGGCCTACAGCTTTAGAGATACAGAAAAATGTTTCAGACATAAAAGGTGTGGAATTATAAGGGCTACAAAACTGCTATTTCGGTTTTTCGAATTTTTTGGATTTTGACCCCCAAAAATAAAAAAAATAGATTTTTTGAATATAATAGCCAAAAAATCCAAAAAGTTTTTTGAATTTCGAAAAAACCGGAATATATGTGATAGCCCCTACCGCCTTCTATCTACATACCAAATTTGAGAACGATACCTCTTTTTTTGGCCAAGTTATAGCGAAAAAAACTGTTCAAAATTGATGACGTCAAATTTTCAAACTCAATTTTTAGCAATGCTAGACCTCGTAGCGCAAAACAAAGACCACCATTAGACTCCCCGTGACGAGCTGCATCGAATCGATACCCATTTTATGCAAAAATATCAACTTTGAAATTTGACCTTTTTTTTGACCTGACCTTGACCTGACCTCCACCAGAAAGTGACCTAAACCGTACCTGATGGTCTTATAACCAACACCATTGAGTTGGAAATGAAAAATTGGCCATAAAACATGCATCGCATAACCTTAGTAAAGTTGGGCTCATGTGGTGACCCTTGGTGACCTTTGGTGACCTGACCTGTGACCTGACCTGGTATGACCAGTGACCTCTAATAGCAGCATATGTACTAGACAACTGACGCCTTATCGCTGATTTTCGACAAAATGCGTTTTGCTCGGTGTTATAGCGCTTTCCCTAGAAGCCCCGTGAACGGTGTAACATTTTATCTTTGACCTGACCTGTGACGTCATCGGTGACCCCGAGGTCAATGAAATTCGGTTTCCTTCGACAAATTTGACAGGGCTATCGAACGCCGTTTGAATTTTCCGGGTCCGTCCAGTAGTTTTGGAGATACGGGGGGGGGGGGGGGCAAAAAAGCCCCCCCCCCCACCGCGCGGAAGGTGGCTGGTAGGCCCACCGCCTGCCGGGTTAAAGCTCAAGCCAGGTAAGATTACCAGGCAAACATAAGGCCCAGTCCTCAAAATGACCAATTGGATAAGCTGTCTGGGTGATGGCTCTGACAGTGACTTTGAGGCTGGGGGAGTGCCCAGGGTTTGACTCCCATTGTTATTCAGTAAAGCCAGCAACTGCCAAGTTAGTGCTAAAACTAGGCCCAAAATCTCCACTTTTTGGCCAACTGGCTGTGTTGTTTGTAAACAGTAAAGCTAGTGCTACAGGAAAAACAATATATTTATGTCTGTTGAGACAAATAAAATTTAACCTAGAGTAAACTGCATCTGACGGGGCTTTTGGATTTCCTTGCCCTCTTGGGGGGGGGGGGGGGCGTGCATGTGTTTGTGTGTGTTTGAACCCCCCCCCCCCCCGGTATCTTGACTCCGGGGACTGGATTATGCGGCCACATGTGTAAGCCTCACTCAATAGAGTGTACAAAATCATAAAGAACTTACTTGGGCTGGCTGCTTTTTAGAGTCAGGTCAAAGCTGAGGCTTTTGGAGGACATGGTAGGTCACCAAAGCTCAAATTTCGCCTATTTTGACAACTTTTGATAAATTGATGCATGACTCGGGAACTATTGTATTGTATTTACATTTAAGAGCGATCCACATACAAAGTGCGTGACGATTACTGCTCACCTAAAAGAGTTACAGTGCCGCGGAAAAGCGCATTCTATTAGCTCTTTAATATTCTTTTTAGTACCTGTTCTCAGGCAAGGTCAATAGTTAAGCTTAGAGGGCAAGATCTGTTAAAATTGACGTATTTACGGAAAACGATTTTTAACCCCCTTGTCAACTCGGCTCCTGGGCGACGAGGCGATACGGGGAAGGCGGTGTTCGAAAGAAACGTAAAAAAAAATAAGGACCAACTAACTTTCATACTTTTTGGTCAGGTCAAAGGTCATGTCACCGGAGGTCATTGAGGGCCAAAGTTGACCGATTTTCAGGTCGAATTATAGTTTTCAAGAAGCCGACGCATAACTCGGAAACCAAGAGAGCTACAGCGCCGACGCATAACTCGGAAACCAATAGAGTTACAGTCTACAGCGCCCAGGATTAGCGCATTTGATAGCCCTATTCGCGCTCTTTATGAGTGTATCTCAGATT